TGATTTTCTAAAATTTCTTTTTCTATTAATTCAAAAATGAGTTTATTTTTTCTTCTAATTTCTTTTTCTTTTCGAATTATCACTTGGACTAGCGATTCAACATATTTTATGACTTCGGCGGCATTTTTTTGATTTGGAAACGGGATTTGACAGTCCAAAAATAGGGTTTTGGCATGGCGAATAGTCGATCCTCTTGATACTTTCAAGTCTAATTGCTCTCGAAAGTAATGGTGTTTTAAAAAAGCTAGAAGGTAGAACTTACTTTTGGTTATCGGTAGTCTGTATAACGCACTCGACATGGTAAAATTAGGATAATCTTGGTCTAAAACTACCGCTTCACCAATGTTCGCATCTTTGGAAATTATTAAATCGTCTTCCTTCAAATCAAATTCTTTGAAAACTTGGGGACGGATAGCAACTGTGGTTTCATTGTTTAAAAAGGGCAAAAAACAATCGATCTTCAGCGCTTTCGTTTTAATAAAATAATGGCTTGACTTAGAAATATAATTTATGGATCCAACTTCATTTCCTCTGTCAGAAAATTTTATTTTTCTATTCAGCAAATTTTTGATCAGGACAGTATTTTTGTTTGGGATGCTTAAAACACTTAGTTGACTAGAAGCCAAATTATACTTTAGATTCAAAATTTCTTTATAGTTAGTGGCCATTTTTATTTTTTTCCAGTAAATAAATCTTGTAGCAACTTTTCTTGCCCTCGACATCATCTTCTAAATTCTCCAATTGTGTCAGTAAATTCTTCGTCCAAAAACGGTTTGCCTTCTGCGTCCTGCTCTATTTCAAAGGTTTGCTCGTTAACTTTATAAAGAGGGTTAAAAAACTTTACTCTCTTGCTAGTTCTTATTTCATATCCAACTTTTTTGATGTTTTTGGTAAAAATACTGTAATTTTCTTTTTGTAATTTTTCCAATTCACTAGTTTTTGGTTTGTAGGCAATTACAAGAGTCGTATTTACACCGGAATCTGCAAATACATTAGGTGGCAAATCGAAAAGAGCAACTACTCTCATTTTTTGCATTAGTCATTTCCGAGCCTTTTCTCACCTGTCGATAGAAGCGAGAGAATTAGATAAGACAATTCCTATTCTTCCGTTTTCTTCCAAAATTCGATAAGCATTTTCTAAAAAGACAAGACCGAGGTCAATCCAATTTCCACACCGTGCAATGTTCCACAACTCATACATTTCGATAATCTCTTTATCTTTTGGAGTTTTTGGCTCATATTTCCTATCTTCGCCAAAAGGAGGATTAGTTAAAACGACATCAAACTTTTTAAGCTCGGTTTGATCTTTTCAATTATCTCAATTGCCATTTTTATGCAGTTCTGGTCTCAAGTCTATTGGTTTGCCCCGGTTGTCAAATTTTCAGATAATTGATCCTTTGTCGGGTCTATGCTCTAAAACCGCGTTTCCATCGCCATTAAGAGCATGTTTAATTGGGCTAACATAACCATATGCTCGTCATTGTCCAAACCATAGATATTGTTATCGTCTAACTTACTTTCTGAGTTAACATAAGAAACAGAGAGAAAATCAGCAATTCCCACTGTTGGATCAATAATTGTTTCATTGCTACGTGGATTTACAATCTTCACTAAAAAATCAATCAGAGGAATCGGAGTTATAAATTGACCCTTTTCAGCTTTGGAAAATTCGCTAGCAAATTTATAGAAAACAATTTGATATAAATCGGACTTGTGTGATTTAACAAAACTATAATCTTGAAATTGTTCAACCACTTCACTGATGATTCGAATATGCGAGGAATTTTCTCAACTTATGGTTTCCGTATCTTTTCTTTTCAAAATATGATGATAATCATCCTTTGCCGATTTATAAATACTTCTTATTCTAGTAATAAATCCTTGTACTACTTCATCGTTTAAATCTATTGCGTTTTTTTCTTCCTTGGTTATGTAAAACAACAGTTTTTTTTCTTCTGGCTCATCTATATATCATTTCAAAGTTTTTTT